AGACCTGCCTCACAAAGCCTGTGAGGCCTCCAACACCTAAACTTCAGCTGCTCTGCAGAAGTTGCCTACCCTTGGGCTAAAATATCTGAGGTAACTTAAGTAATACATCTCAGAGGGTGAGGGAGGGTAGAAGCATTTGTTCTTCAAAACTCCTTTCCTTCTCCAAGGCCTGGGAGTTCTCCTGTTGCAGGAGAGGATGGTGTTGGAGAGAGCCCCAGCCATGACTCACTCACAGCTAATCCTTGGCAAATCTATCACCATGGAAACTGCCAATCATCCACGCTTTTCATAGCTTAACTGAACATCTGCCAGGGAAAAACAAATGGTATAAATCACTCATCTTGCCTACTGTGTTTACACTGGGGCCCTGGTAAACAGGGCAGCCCTCCCAGCAGGGTGCTGGCCAAGGTGCTCAGTGAATGCTGCGCAACCTTCATTAAGTCCTCACTGAGCTGCCCAGTTCCCCCTTTCCCCCAGATTGGATCAGTGATTCTCAACCTGGGTAGTGCTGAGGGGAAAGGGAGGGACAGGAAACCCTATCCTAGTGAGCTAGGGTGAGGGCTGAGCTAAAGAAGCCCGTGGAGTTGACAGTCTATTCAATACTATAATTTTACGTTTGGAATTTTATGAAACAATGCTTTCATAATTTAAACCACAGAAATTTAATCACGACTCACATTCTTAGGTAGCTGCTGCTGTCAAAGGAAGTGCAAAGGCACTCCTCCCTGGAGCAGAATTTCCAGGGTCTGTGAGGTTTTAAATATGATTATCCACGATATGGGTTTAAAAGGAACACACGGATACTGGGAGTGCCGAGGCACACACATAATGTCAGCTCAGGCGGAAGGTTTGCAAGCTCAAGCTCAGCCTGGGCAACTTATCTAGAGACTTTATCCTCAAAATGAAATGAAAAGAGCTGGGGCTCAGGGGTAGAGCACTTGCCCAGCATGCTGGAGGCCCTGGGTCCACTCCCTCGTACCGCAAAAGCCAAAACCGAACCAAAACAAAAAGAATAAATGGGCAGATGGATGCCATCTCAAATATTAATTCAGCTCCAACTCTGGGCTGCAGGCAGCATCCTCAGGCTTCAGGTTGCTGCCTTTCCTGTCTGGAGGAAGATGTGCTGGAGGGAAGGCTCTGCCCCAACTCAGACCGGGGACCCTTTCTAGACCCTTCCTGGACTAGATCCTAGAGAGGCGAGGGAGGCCCTCCACCCAAGGGGCCAGCAAGGCCACGCTTCTGAGCCAACCTCTTGCGAGCCCAAGGACACACAACCCTGCAACTGCTAGCCTAGCATCTTGGTCTGGGACCCTGCCCCCCAGGCTCTAGGAAGCCAGGCCAAGGGGTTCCCTGAATGTGTGCTCCAGTACTGCGTGGGAAGGGAACGCAGGGAGAAGGGCTGCAAAACACTTCACATAGTAACTTTTTTATCTTCCTATTTCCGCTTTCCTTTTCTGACCACAAAGTAGAAACTGACCTACATTTGAAGGTCTCCTTGGGGGAGATGTGCAGCAGAGCAGAAGGAGAATTGGTCGGTACCCTGTGCTGCCTTGTTTTTCCACAGTCCTGGCATATTTTGGAGGATCATAGAAGTAGAAAAGAATCAGGCAAATGTCTGGGGGCTGCCCAGGGGCACAAGAACAAAAGCTCCTATGTGGTTTGCAGGGATCAGACTAATAAGATTACAGGATTCCTTATTTAAACATGAAGAATTTCGGCAACAGTGATGCATCAAACCAAGCCCAAGGTCCTTCTTGGCAGGGGAAGCCATGGGATGCTCTAGTCACACCACCGTGCAGTGAGCCCTGGCAGGAGTGCCCTGTATATCCCAACAGACAGGTGCCAGAGCTGGGGCAGGGAGAGGCTGGCCCACAGGTTCTACAGCCATGGGGATAGGGACCCACTCCCTGGAAGCCCTGCTGGGAATCCATCAAGCCCTCAGAGAGGTGGGTTCTGGGGAATCCTAAGCGTAGGACTTAGCCAGTTTCTGGTCCCCCAAAGTGGCTCAGAGGCAACACAAACACGAAGGTGGTATGGACAAGACAACGAAAGGGCCTGGCTCTGTTTACAAATGAGGAAGAACCAGTGTGAATGCCCCACTTGCCTTAGAACTGTGTGAGACCCTCTGACCCATGGTGGGGCTGGGTGGACACATCATGAATGATTTCTCTTCCTGTTAAGTTGTCCAAGCAGGATGAAGGCTTGGAGCTAGAGATGGACTCTTTTCATTGTATAAAAGTGAAAGTGATGCAGTGTTTCAGAAAATCTGTATTTGCATATCATGTTTCTACCTGCCATTTTGATGGCAAGGGACACCAAGCAATGATCTGACTGAGAGATGAAGTTGGACCACAGGGATCATGTGGTAGAGAGGTAGAGAGAATCCAATGCTATCTAGGAGGTAGAATTGAAAGGCTTGGAGAGTACTAGGAGGAAAGTAACCAATAACTCTGATGCTGGCCAGAGCTGGATGGAGACACCGGAGGTGAGGAGCACAGGAGAAGAGCCAGCCGGGGGCAGGTGGGATGGGATTGGCTCTGGATGTGTCCACCGTACCCAAGAGAAGATGTCAGCGAGGGCAATGAGTAAATAATGGGAATCTTAAAGGAAAAGTCTGGGCTGGGCGTGTGCATGTGGGAGTCATGAGCTTCATGAACACTGGGCATGGAAGATATTCCAAGAAAGACTTAGAGAAGGGAGAGAATGGGGCTGGGAGTCGCCAGGAGAGCTCCATCATCTAACCTGGAGGCAGAAGAGGTTGTGCCACACAGGCAGTTGAGAGCAGGAAGGATTCCAGGGGGCTGCTGCACCGTGGGACGAAAGAGGAGGGAGAATGTATCTGCTGCTGAGAAGCCAAAGGAAGCAAGAAATAAAAAAATGCCCCTGGATTAGCGACATGGAAATCACCGATAACCTTGGAAAGATCCACTTCATCGAAGAGTGTGGAAGAGTTGAACAAGAGCAGGAAAATGGAGACTGGTAGCCAGCCTACACTTGGCTATGAAAAGGGGAAAAAAAGGTCCTTGCTAGAGAGAGCAGTGGGACTGAAGAAAGGTGATTCCACTTTAACATCTCTATTGACATAAAACCAACATACTTTTTAGCTGCATATGTTTTAAGAGTAGCAATTTGAAAAGCTTTGAGATATGACTATATCTGTGAAACCATCACTGTTATCAGGAATATATTTTTCATCTTCCCAAATGCCCTACTGCCCCTAAATAATACCTGCTCTTGCTCTCCCCAGCCCTGTTCCTAGGCATCTATTAATCAGCTTGTAGTCACCATGCTTATATCTTTTTAATAATGGGATGTATATTATTTATTCAAGTATTTTTTTAGTTACTTTTTTTGTAGTGCTGGGGATTTAAACATGGGGCCTTGTGTATACTAAACATGTATTTACTGCATTTTCTAGAATTTTATATAAATAGAGTTCTTTTTAAAAGGTACCGTTTTTCTGACTTCTTTCCACTCAGCATAACTATTTTTAAGGCTCATACATATTTATCATATACATCAACAATCCATTCTTTTTTATTGCTGCTGTACGGCTATTACCATAATTTGGTTATCTGTTTTGTTTACCTATTGATAAACACTTGAGCTATTTCTATTTTGGATCTATTACAAATAAGATTGTCTTGAGCTTCCAAAGCTCTTTGAGGTCTTACATGAACCTGTGCTTTGAATTCTTTGCCATAGATAACCAGGAGTGTGTATCTAAATTTTAAGACCATGTTAAAGTGTTTTCCAAAGTGGCAGTACCATTTTACATTCCCATCAGCAGTGCCTGAGAATTCTAGTTTCTCCATATCCTTGCCAACACTCATATGGACCACTTTTCATCTTAGTTACTTTCTCATGGCCAAGACATAATGCCTAACACCCACAGCTCTAAGGCGGAAAGGTCTATTTGGACTCATGGTTTGTAGAGGTTTTAATTCGAAGCAGGGCAGCATAGCAGAGGAAAACTAGCATGGCAGAGGAGAAACAGCTTGTGGCGTGGGAGGCAGGAAGCAGAAAGTGGTCAAGGAAGGAGGGAGTGAGTTACACCCTGCCAGCCTAGCCCCGTGGCCCACCTTCTCCCACCAGGCCTCACCTCCCAATATCATATTCAGCCATAAACTCCTCAGTGGACTCATCCCAGATGGATTTTATGTCCCCAAGCTCCAGTCACCTCTCTTTGGGGGGACTTCGAGATATAAACCCTAACAGACATCTTCGTATTATCTCATTTTTCTGCTCCTATCCTATCTGGGGAGAGGATAAGGCATAGGAAGGGATAAAGCACATGTAAGAAGGCAGGATAGGGCAGGGAAGGACAGACAACAATAGCAGCCACACCCAGGTTAGCACCACTACCTAAATTGAAAGTGACAGTCTTGTCACAGTCTAGTCCCTAGCAAATATATTTCTTATGGATCATCTGTCCACATGTCAGCCTATGGCCTTGCTGGCCAAGGACTAAGCATGATACAAGAGTTTCCTAGGCACCTCCACTTTGGAAGGCTTCTTCACGCCCACTGTGGGGTGGGAAAGGGGAGTAGGGTAAGGAGATTTATTCACAGCCTATGGGGCCCCTGGTTGGCCCACACCTAGTACAGCAAGAAAAGAAAAGACAATTTCTCTGATCCCAGGACAAGACAAAATTGTGGTGGCAGGGTGTGTATGTGTGTGTGTGTGTCTGTGTGTTAGAACAAATATGGGTTCACTCAGGTAAAAGGAGGACCAACCTACCTGCTGAGGAAGGCCCCCTGCTCAGCCCTAAGAGAAGGATGTTCCCTCTATCAGTTTGGCCAAGAGATGTCAGTATGTACGTGCAAGGAGGGTTAAATCGTGTTGGCACCTTCAGAAATTATGAACAAGTTGACTCTGCTCTCTAAAGTTAGATCTATATCCCAAGAGCACACCCAGGCTCTTAGTTATGACCCTGAATTTTAGGAAGCAAGTATGTATACCCTTAAAGTGAGAGTAAAAAGGAACCCACATCACAATACCTGTAGCTGCTGGGAAGAACACCCCGAACACAGTGAAGAAAGATTCCCCTGGGCTGTAATCTGGTAGTGTGTTGTTCCACAGTAGTTCTGGTGAATATCCAACAAAGCCATGTTCTGAAATGACACACAGGACAACAAAATGAGCTCAGATATGGCACAGCTCTCTCCCTAGATTACAGTGCTATTTTATAAGTTGTGTGTGCGTGTGTTTGTGTGACAGAGGAGAAGGAAGACGGGGGAGAGAGAGAAGGTCTGATGCCACCATCTTCCTTCCCATCATGATGGCTGACTCGTGTGTCCATGCGGATCTATGGCAACAGGCGATGCAACAACATGAAGAGAGCTCTGGGAAGGGGAGCATTTTCGTTCTTGCTTCATAGACTTTAGTGCAAGTGGAGTACCTTAGTATCTGTCCATGGGAATATATTTGTGTATTTGTTTTTCATATCTGAAAAAATTTGTTGATGTTTACAAGTTACCTCCCTGCCTATGAGCTACAGAAATGAGCTCAAACTCCTTCAAGTGAATATCAAAGCACCCAACAACGCAGCAGCAGTCCCCAGCATGCTGTCCGTCCTTCGCCTTCCCCTCCTGACAGTCCCTGTTCTCAGGCACCCCCAGCACCGTCCTATGTACCTGAGGCTCTGCCTTCTGGACCTCCTCTCTGGGCGTCAGTCCTGTGCTCACTCTTCAAGTACAGCTCAGAAGTTGTGCAATGTCTCCCTGATCAGGATCGATTCCCTCCTGTCTTATGCACCTCTGTGCCCTGAGCCCAGCTCCACACCTAGTGTATGAATGGGTGAGGGGCCAACAGGTATCACATGGGAAAGAAACTCTCTCTTAGATCTCCCAGCTTCCGGGCTGGCTCACTCCTGTGCTTTCTATTAGTCTTGCTCCCAGACTGTACAGCGAGGCTATCTCAGATCTAATTCTTCAAAGTATTTTAAACATGTTTGTACATTGACCTTCACAGTTTTTCAAGTGGCTTCAATCCTATAAGGCTTTGCTTCTTTGTGGGGGAGGTCAGTTTGCACCACAACTGAGAATGCGCTCCAGGGCTGTGGAACTCTGAGCCACCAGTCAAGTGGTCTTGGCTCCAGATCACCAGGCTGTTCTGCTCCGCCTTTGACTCTCCTCTCTGAGAATGAGTCAGCCTGCTTCTGTTAACCATAGTCCGAGAGGAACTAACCTTCGCTTCTTTTCCTTTTCCCATTGTCACACTGGATGGCATCCAGCCATCGTCCACAAGCCGTGGTCACAGAGCCTCCCGCAGCCTCCTCCACCCACCTGAGCTTCCTTCCACACGGGAGCTCCTGGGACTCAAGTCCAGTGGGGTCTCCTGCACTGCCCTTAGCCTCCTAGAGACGCAACCGCATAGGAAAAATAGTTTTCAAACAAATCATAAAATGGAAGCTCAGTGAAGCACAAGGGAGCCCTGGGTGCGGTCAGGACTCAAAATCTTGATCAATTGCTTTCCTTTGCCTGAGAGTGGAATTCGCTTTGTGCACTAAGTCTCAAGTGCTGCACAGTGCTGCTGAATGGCTCCCCGCCCCTGCAGCTGCCCTCGGCTAGACCAAGAGCTGAGTTAACTTTAGCTCCCCGCTGGCTGACCCTGAACTAGTCTTTTGAGGGGAAAACCAGCCCAGCCATCTTGGAACTCGATGCAGCCAAGCTGGGCTGATGCTGGGTCTGAAAGCCCAGAGCAGGGGTGTGCCGGCCGTCTGCTGTAAACACCTCAGCTCACTAGGGCCTTCGCCTCTGCAGCCAGAGGTCCTGACCACCAGGCCTAAGAGCCTTGTCCTGGTCAGCCTGAAGGCCCAGGGTGTCACTGGGAAGCCTCATGTCCACAACCAGGTCCACGGGCTCAGAGGAGGGACCGGGCACAGTTGTCCTCTCTTGTAGGGCCGATGAGAAATGCAGACCCCAGAGCACACATTCACATTGACTCACACTGACACATACCAACACACAACACACAAACTCCAGGACATATCCATGTGCATACTCACTGACACACACACAATGACACAAGCACACACACACAAGCACACACCCATATCCACAAACACACAGTGGCACGCTCACAAGCACACACTGGCGCATAAGCACACCCACCCAGCAAATACTCAGGTGGACACTCACGAATGTACATGCACACTGGCACACCCACGCCAGCACACAAGCACACACACACTGACACACCTACACGGACACACACAGGCACATATTCACACTGACTTTCGAACTCATACTCATACCTTCCTGCTGGCCTTGCCTTTTCAACTGGACCCAAGCCTAGTTCTGAACCCTTTTCAAGGGATAATCTGAACTTTGAGAAGAACTCAAGATGTTTGTCAATGTTGTATTTGTATAATGTAAAATTTGGGGGCCTGAATATCTAACTATAGGGAACTGAGGTATTTTAAGTGCTTATGAGATTTTAGCACCACAGAGACTGCCTATGTTATGTATGCTGTGTTGAGTAAGAAAGCTAGAATCTGGTTGTTGTATAAACACACAAAAAAGTTTTAATTTATACATGTAGGAAAAGTCTAGAAGGAAACATACCACATTACCCTGGACCATCTGAATAAATCATTATGAGCGATTCTTTTCTTTTTTTATTTCCACATTTTTAAATGAGCATAACTGATGTACCATTTTTAAAAATTAGTATCTTTTGGGAAAGCAAAGGACCTTACAGCTAAAATCCAACTCTCTCCAGGGAGATTTCCCATCTCTCTCTCTCTCTCTCTCATCTTTCTTCTTTCTCTCCTTTCTCCTCCCTCTATCTCTCTCCCTCCCTCCCTCTACCCCGCCTTTTTCTTTTTCTCTCCCTGCTTCCCAAAATGATTTGAGTGATTTAGGAGAAAAACATAAGCAATTAAAAACAAAACAGAAAAACGAAATGAGAGAGGTTGAGACTAAATCTGAGAATACCCACAGTCCGTGCCACAACTGAGGTCTCTGCAGAAGGCTTCAGGGTAAGCCCTGCAGCGATCCCAGAACTGGACAGATACCTGTTCAACCACTTGTGCCCACTAGGTCAGGGCACAGCCCGGTGGCCCGTCCTTCACATTGGCCACTTTCCCATGGATGAATCTGGCCTCATTTCCTGTGCTTTTGACTCTGCCCAGATGCATCACGACCCATCTCAGGGCCCCCAGTCCTAAGCCAACCCCACAGAACCTTGCTCCTCTGTTCCCCGCTCATCTGTTTGGACTGGGGTCTCCCACATCCCATGCCTGGTAGTCCTGTTGGACCTGGAGCTAGGGAAGGGCTGGTGTGGGCCAGTGGGTCACATCCAGGGTCAGGGTGCAGGGCTAAGGAACATGCCACCTGCCCTGCCCTCCTACAGTGGCTCCTAAGGCCTGACTTGCTACTGCTCAGGAAGCTTCCTAATTCTTTTAGTTGTAGTCCTGTTTGAGTGTCTGGAAGCTGTGATCACTGTCCCCATATCCAGCACATTTTGCACACAACCTGAGGGGTCCCAGACCACTGAAGCTCCTCAGGGGGGGCAGCATAGAGCCCTGTGAACCTGCCTATACCTACACCTTCCCAAGCCTGGCTGCACATGTGTCCACCTCAGAGTGGGCAGCAGCCCAGGAAGTGACATAGCCAGAAATGCTTTCATTCTATAGGCCCTGCAGGCACCAAGACTGAAGAGATGTGCACCCCACCCCCATCCCTAAGGAGACCACAGGGCAACCTCATGTTTGAAACAACTACGAGCAGCCCTTTGCTGAGCACCATGTAGACGCCAGTCACTGAGCACCGAGTCCTCAGCAGTCATCCTTGATCCCACAACCTCCCTGCAAGAGGTCAGGAAACTGAGGAAACGGGAGGACTCTAGTCCAAGGTCACATAGCTAGGACTGAATTCGTTTCACCTCCTGCCTCTCCCTGAAATCAGAGCCAGGCTCTATGATGCTGCAGGGCTGGGGTGGGCCCCTGTCACGGAGATGCATGTCACACAGGTTTCCCTGAAGATCAGGGCATCTCCCTCAGGCTGTATCTAGGGAGAGCAGGCAGGGCCTATCTCTGGCCAGCTCAAGAGTCTGTAATAGGCTGAGTGTGGATTGCTGGGAGAATGTTGGTCTGTCCCACAGGTCTGTCTGGATTGTTTTCCACCCATCATAGGGTCTCTCTGTAATCTATCCCAGTGAAAGAAAGAAAGCGAGAAAGAAAAATACACATATATGGGAAATATCCCTGGAGAGAGTTGGATTTTAGTTGTAGGGTCCTTTGCTTTCCTAAAAGATGTAATGTTTTAAAAATGGTAAATCAATTATGCTCATTTAAAAATGTGGAAAGAAACTTGTATTCCTTGACTGTAAATGCTTCCTTGCCTCAGTGGGCCTTTAGATTCCTCTGCTGGAAAAACAAGGTCACTGATCTGGGTGGAGTCCCATCAGCTGATTCTCTTCCAACTCTGAAAGGCCCTGGATGATCAGGGCCTGAAGTTGCTGTGTATGAACGAGAATCTCAGCTTGACCTGAACATCTGCTTCTATCTTCACAGAATAAAAATACTCGGGTCCCATCTGAGCTGTGTACTTTTAGCAAGAACAAAAATGGATCAGGGAAGAGAGAGAATAAATCAACACAAGACGCAGGCAGGAGCAGGAGAGGTGGAGGAGAAATCCTTGTCCTTGAAAATCTACACACAGGAAGGCCTGACCTCTTCCCCCAGGGTGAGGGTCACTTGATGTGTGTGTGTGTGTGT